TATACTTAAGATATAAAATAATATTTATATATTTAAATATCATATATAATATAAATCTTAACATTCTTATATTTAATTATATTATAATTATTATTTTTCTTTAATTTATTCAATACAATTATAAAGATATTTTGATCATTATACTTAAAAAGTTATGATTCAGTTTTTTTTATATTTATTTTTATCAATCACATCAATTACAATAAATCCAATCAAATCCATAAAATCTATTAACTTTCCCTTAATACACACAACTATATTATTTACTCTAAATTACTTTAAATTCATTCACTCAATTCCTCACCCCAATTTAAATATAAGTTTAATAAATTTTAAAAATAAAAGAATTATAAATTATTTTATCTCAATTTTTAAGCTATACATGAATGTTTATCAAAACGTGGATTCTTAATAAAAAATTAAGAAATACAATCAAGATGATACTTAGTTCTTGATTTTATAAAATGAGTTAATGTTTTATTTAAGAATTAAAATGTCTCAAGATATATATTTAAAATAATATTTATTTTAAAATTTTAATATATATAATTCTTAGGGACAGGATGTGTTGTGACCCACATTTCCCTTTCTGGTGTTTAGGGTTTTATTATTGTATGATATCTTTGATATACAAGTTGTGTATTCCACCCTGGACATGGCTTGGTGCAGAGAAATAATGCGTTGTTTGAGTGTGGTGGTGGTGACCCTACTACTCTACTCCCCCACCAACCATCTGCTCCACCTCCAACCTGCTTTTTACTTTGCTTTCTCTCCTGCATTTTGCTTTCCTTTATTTATTCATTCACATTCCTTCCTTCACCAATCTTTCTTATACCAATTCATGTGTTATTCTTCTTCTTACTGCATGCACGCATCATCCTTGTTAATATAATAATCCTTTAGATTAGATTCGTATATGAATGTTTATGGGAATTACTTTTATTGCTAACATGCGCTGCATCATCCCTTTATATATCATTAAATTCATCTGAATCTAAGTTTATCATTTTTCACGGATTGTTGCTGCCAAAGTCCAATATCATGTTCTCTGCGCTTGCTTTCCTCGTCTTATACAAATCTCCAACCTCCTCTTCTTTAAAATAAATCTTAGAGCAATGAAATAAATATAGGAAAAAAACAATGGAGGGGAAGAAAAAAAAAAAACTTAACCTAGAGAATTAATAGATTTTTTCATTACGTATCTTCTCAAGTCATGTCAACTTAAACAAAAGGGACCTTATCCTAATGTAAATTACGTTATTGCTTGCGTCAGTCATTGTATAAAAAAATGAAAAAATGTTTATTTATTTTCATATTACTGTCCACCAAGAGTTTATTTCAGTCTTATTATTACATTATTATCTGTCCAATGAGAAAGTTTTATTATTAAATTCAGAAAGCAAACTTTATTTTGGCCCAAAGGAATAAATCTCCTGACGTTTGTTGTGTATTGGTAAGATTGGTTCGTATATTATTAAAAAATTCAATTAAAACTTTTAGTATGTAGTAAAAACAAAAACAAAGTAAATAAATTTAAATTAAATATTTATTTAATTATAACATCATTTACATAATTATAAATCAAATTTGTATTATTAAAGTAATATTTTTAAATTATATATCTTATTTTTTAACAGTATATATTTTTATATCTAATTATAAAATATTTGTATTATAAAATTATTTAAACTTACATTAATAAATGATATTATATTACAAATAAATAAAAATATATATTAAATTATTATTTTCATTTTTAAAATCACTTTTATATTTATAATATTTTATTTAAATATATAATAAAATTATAAATATAAAATAAATAATTATTTATTTAAATGAGGATAATTAATGTAAAAAAATATTTTTCATATTTTTTATTATTTATTATTTTTATATAAGAGAAATAAAGTAAATACATATAATAAAAAATGACATACTTTTCTTTATTATTAAAAAAATTATTATTTTTTACTCTATATTTTTCCTAAAAATAAACATATATAATAAAAATTATTTTTTTCACAAAATAATATTATTTTTATTTATTTTTTTAGATACATCACTTACTCTATACATTTCTTCCTTTGTAAAATAGAATATTATTTTTTAGATTAATATAAGATTGTTTGAAGATACTGCTTGTATAAATAAAAAAATATTAATGTTAATTTAATATTTACAAATATAATTTTTTGTAATAATATAAAATTTAAATTAAATATTATATAAACGACCAAAGAAATAATTTGACTTTTTTTTAAATTAAGATCTAATTCTTATATAACATAACATCCAACAAAGATATTGCATCATTTTTTCTATAATTTATTTGTTTAACTCTTATTATATTATTCTCGCAGAGTGACGAATAAGGTCATTCTTTCAAGACTTTCTTTTATTAGCTTTTTATATATATTATTTTTTTATATTGACATCTCAAAATTTTATGTAAGTTCTGCCACTCCTCTTATATCATATACATAGTTTAATAAAAAATATATAATTTATTTAGGTTTTTAATCACTAAATTTTTTATAATTTTATTTTAATTCTTTTTAAAATTAAAAAAAATATAATGTTTAAAGTGAAAAAATATAACTATAATCTCTAAACTATAAATTTGAATCATTCAAATAAAATTATGAACCATTGAATTTAATATTTAAATATTTAAATTATATTTTATTAAATTTAAATGACTAATATTTATATTTTTGTAAATTAAAAACCTAAAAAATTATTTATCCAATTTTTATAAACTATGAAGATAATTAAACTAAAAAAAAATAGATTTTGATATTATATTAAGATTTTAACATAAATGTGAAGTAAACGGTGTAGTACTTCCAATTCAATTACTGTGTTTGTTTTTATTCGTGTTTGATGGCATTAAAACATTTCTTCTGCATACGTTAAGAAGTAGAACTAATAGAGATGGGTTACATAAGAAAACGTAATTAACCTAACTATATACCTAACCTAATTAATTTTAATTAGTCATGTTTCACGCATGATTATCCCTACAACCTATAGGGTTAAGGACTAAACATTACAACTAGTGCCCTAATTGATTTGTTTATAATTCTGAACTTTTATGATGTACTATAAAACGCAGTAACCTATGTGCAAGAATTAGGTCACAGGCCAAACTATATTTATGTTATATAGTTGGATCCCATTCAGTATCCACCACAACCTAAACAAAATAAATATAAAGAGAGATATTATAAACTATATCATGCTTAACAATTGGATTATGATTTTCAACAATCTTCTAAAAACTACAGTAATGTTAATGAACTAAATAAATAAAACAAATCAGAGAACATCGAATTGAATTTAATATTTAAAATAAATCTTAATTTATTTTTTGTGCAAAAATGAAAATAAAAAGGAGAGATATTTTTAAAAGTTACAAACCAATAAATACTTAACAAAAATATTCTTTTAACCTTGGTTTTGTTAGTGTGATTTTGTTTAATTTTTGCATTTATTTTTTATTAATTTTGTTTCTCAAATTTGTATTTGTTTTCAAAATGATCGTTACACTGTGATTTTACGACATATATATGTAACATCATAAAGGATAATTTTTTTTTCATAAAAACCAAAATCAAATATATTTATTTTAAAATAATTAAAGACACAATTAAGTCACCATTTTTGTAATTATTTAAAATATTGAACTAAATGTATCAAGTATGCAATAATTGTGCTACTAAGATACTCACTAACAGAACTTTCTTTTGAGAATGAATAATTACTCGCGTAGTTATCCTACTTAATTTAATACAGATATTAAACGTGAAAAAAATATTTACATTTTAAACAACCCAAAAAGTACTCTTTTTTTTTTTGCTTTATTATGCCCTATAAAATTAAGAATAGAATAATAAGAAAATTATGTAATAATTTCATTGTTGAACTTTCAACATCAACAATGCTTTTGACACTTTGACTCTGCAGAGATCAAATCTTGTTTCTCTTTTATTTTATTTATTGAATGAGTTTTTTAAAATATAAATTTTGTATTCAAGAAAATTTATTCCAAAATGAGAGGAGTGACTCAAGAGTTTTGAGTTTTTTTTTTTTTTTTTTTTTAAGAATCTAAACCCTAAATTGCACGCCCCAATTGGAACCCTAAATCTATTTTGGGCTTATCATGCGAGTCTTGTTAAGACCGCAACTTTGTTTATTTGAAAAAAATTAAGGTACGTTTTTTAGGATGAAAAAAGTTACATTTCAAATTATCTTTCAGTGAGAAAAACAAACATGTTGTTTTATTTTTTGAGATACATAAATAAATATTTTGTAATTAAATTGTGAAAAATAAAGTTAAAAAAAAAATTCAGCCTAGATTGATAAAATCACAAATAATAATTTCAATCCAATATGTATTATAAATATTTATGTTGATATTAATATTTTATTTTTATAGCACCTTTAGACAATAAAAAAGGACGAGAAACATCAATGTCCATTGTATTTTATAATGTTTCGAAAGGTGAATAGAAAGTATAGACATGAACGGATAAAAGTCAAAAAGTGTTTTTACTCTCAAAATATAAAAATTTCATAATTTTGTTCTGAAAAAAGAGATTATACATATAAATCTCAAATCCATTGATCTTTTCAATAACAAACCTACCACCCAATAATTCATTAGTTTGTTTAAAAGAATAAAGCTACCAGCTTATTTAAAATTCTGATTTAAAATAGCCTTTTAAACAGTTCTACAATCTTGATTCAGTATTTGAGGATATTTCAGGTTATTTAGAATTTGTTGTCTAGTTCTACAATCTCTGATAACATTCTGGGAGAGGTTGTCAAAAGAAAAAATAAATCAACTCCATAAAATTTGTAAACCAAAATTGAACATGTGAAAAAATAAAATAAAAATTGAGATGAGTTGTTGCACTCTTTTCCTCTCTCTCTCCAATGGTACTCCTAAACCAAAACTCAATTAAAAAACAACAAAAACTTTCACAGAATCCCTTTCAAGCAAACAGCACAGTTTGATTAGGAATGGTGTTGGTGCTGGTAGATCTATGAGGAGGGATTGGTGGCCTACTACCTATGAAGGTAGTGGCACTTCCTTTTCTTGAATTCAGAGAAGAACATGAACCCCTTGAACTTGGTGAATGCATCATTCCCCTCTTGGAAACAGTCCTTGACACCCCATGCCTCTCATCTAACCCTCCTCCATAGCTCTTGCAAGACTTCAACCTCTTGTTGTATGGGTTCTCTGGCTTTGCAAGATCCTCCAAGCTCCTCACATTTGTTAGTGAAGTGAAAGACTGTGACTTCCCCTGGTAGAATTTTGACAACCCCCTCCTGTACCATCACCACAAGACACAAACTTTAAATGTCACAAACAAAAAACACCCAAATTTTTAAAGAAGTGACATGTTCTTGTTACCATGAACTAATCTTATTTTTGTACGCATATCATCATAAGAAATATCTCTTCTTGTGAAAAAGTCTTTTGTAGGTTGTTGATAACTATGGACTAATTTGATTGTTTACGGAAAAACAAACCAAACGCAGAAACTAAAGAACAAGCAAACAATGGTGAGAGAAATCAAGAAACATACTTGATGGGAAGTTGTTGAAAGATAGAAGACATGTCACTCAATGGATCAGGTACAACTGCAAGTTGTTGATCATCAGCCGAAGATGATGATGATGACGATGATGAAGAAGAGGGAGGGGATGTCACCTCTTCAAAAGAGTCACATTCCACTGATGATGATGACCCACTTGAAGCTCGAGAAACAGAAGACGATGAAGTTGAAGAGGAAGAAGAAAAAGAGCCAACAGCAAGAACATCATCATGGTACACATGAACTGGTCCTTTCTTTTGGGCTTGCTCCATTGATCTCCAATCCTTGGTGTCTTGTGTTCTAAAATTTGACTGGCTAGCACTTTATGACTTCAATCACAGACAGAGACACACATAAATTATATATAGCATATTCTTTCTCTCTATGAGGGATATAAATGGAATGGAAGGTTTGAAAAATCTTAGGATGATTTATAAGGAAAGTGGTAAGATGGTGGATAAGATTAAAGGATCTTTTCCACTTTCATTGTTAATATTCTTGTTTGGAAAGAAACAGTGTAAGATTCGACTTTATCCGAATATGATTTCTCATTTTCTCTTGTCCCCCCCAACCCTATCATCATCTATCATTCTTCTTTCTACCTCACCCAAATCTCCCATTTTCTTTTATGTCGTCTATTATCCATTCTCAACTCAGCACCTCTCTAGCGCCTTCTTTCCTCCCAACACTCACGTTTCAATATTCTATTCATATTTCCGCAACTTCTTCACCCTTTATTAAACTAATGACACGCTGTTGAATATTTGTATCGTTTGAAGGTGTTGTCTAGACAATATAAATTTCCTGGAAAATAAATAAATTTTCATTGGAGTTTCTACACTTTATTATTTAATATTAATGTGAATTCTTATTTCAGAAAATTCAAGTTTGCACTGTTTCTAATATTTTATTTCTAATAAAATTGATTACAATAAAAAGTTAAAGAAAACTAATGCAAAATGGAATAATTAATTCTAATAATATAATTATTCTTTTAAATATTAATCATCCAATTTTTTTATTTGAAAATTATTATTGGTTCTTTTTTATATATTAATATATAACTTTATTTAAATCTCCATTTATAACCATTGACCATAGCAAATAAATAAATACTAATAATTTCTAACTACCATTTGAACGAGTAATGGTAATAATAATAATAATAATAATGAATTGCGCGTGGAAGGAAGGAACGAAGGAGCGCATTGAGAAGGGTTATGGATAAGGTAGAAGTGGTGACGTGGCAACGGCGCGAGTTGAATTGTTTGTGAGGGAAGGATGAAGAAAGGTATGCGCGGCGCCCACTGAGTTGAACAAATTGTGAAGTTGGAATTTTGAAAGAAGGAAGGAAGGCATTGTTTGTTTGGTTGCCTTCTTTTGAGGGCAACTTGGCCCCAACTTCACCCTTTTCTGTCTGCCTTTCTCTTCACCCAAACAGACACCAATTCCTCCTTTTGGGCAAACCATCTCCACTACTAATTAAATGCATATATCTTCCCTCTTATCACCATTTTCGATCTTATCTTATCACCACTTTTAAATTAATATAATAATTAAGTAAATTACTACTTATTACTTTTACCCTAAAACAAAATATTTCTTTCTCAAATCACCCCTATTTCTTTTTAAATAATTATTCAACGTTTATAAACTTATTCTCCCATATCACATTAAATAATGTTTATATAATTATATAAAACTTATAACTGTTTTTTATGTGATTTTTAATATTTTTAATCAACTAAAAATAATTAACATCTATATTTATTTTCTTGTCATTGGAGATAAAAAAAAGTATGGTAATGTGTGATTCAAAAAAATTTAAATACATTTAGGATAATATTTTTCAAAACATTTCAAAAGTGTTTTTTTTTTGGAGTGCAGGAGAAATGTATGGGGTTGTAGGAAGAAAATTCCTTTTTTATTTGGACCACTGTGATATGTGGGCTGAGCGGGTAATGGACAAAAGGGCCCAATAGATCATCTCCGTTATCCAATTTCAAACTCTAAGAATTCCTAATTTTGAGTTTCAAAGTCGTATCCTTGTTTCACCCCTTTCATCACATATAGGCTCATTCGCCACCCTTATCTCTGTAAGCATAAAATTTTATAGCTTCTGATTTTTAGTTAGATTAAAAGGAAAATGTGAACATTGTTTTGTTAATTGTCTATTGGAATCTGATGTTGTTTTTGTATTAGTGTATATTAGTTGATTGCTTTGATGGAAGTGATGATTATTTCCCCAGATGATCGACGCTGAACATACTGTGCGATTTTCTCGTCGGAGAAGCCAAGCCAATTAATCTGATCCATCTTTGCATTTTTTTTAGTTCGATTAAAGGGAAAACATGAACATTGTTTTGTTAATTGTAGGTTGGAATCTGGTGTTTGTTTTTGTATCAGTGTATAATAATTGATTGCTTTGTTTGATGGAAGTAATGCTTATTAAATTCTTTGCTTTGTTTTCATTGCTACTTCTTTTGTCTCCATTTCAGGGAAACGAAAATGGGTTCTTGGGCTGCAGTATCTGTTCTGACTATTCCATGGTTTACCATTAATGCTGAATCTGTCATGCAATCCAAATTAAGTACCATTTTTTACAAAATTTACACAAACACAAATAACAAAAAAACTCAGTCTCTTTTTTGCCAGGGATCATTCACACTAATACTCCTTCTTGAACATGTGGAAGCATCCTATTGTTAGAGTTAATCTCATTAACTCAATATTAAAAAAAACATACAATAACAATGATGAATATAATTAAATATCAAAAAGTCAATTAAAATGTTGATAGAGTAAACTTTATCCTATAGTTAAAAAATTTAATATATATTACAAATTATCAAAGAAAAGTAATTTGATAAAAAAAGATATTATATCATATATAAGACTTTTGCAGAAAATTTGGAAGAGACAAAATTTTAGTATGAACATATATTATGTTGATGAAAATAATATATTTTGAAAAGTCTTATATTTCATTGCATAAACAATGGAGTAGGTGATAGTAATTATATAATAAATTTAAAGTTTATAATATTTTTATACCTCAGTTAATTTTTAAGTATATATTTGACTTTTATTATATTTTTATAATAGAGTGTTGTGAAATTTTGTTTAAATTCTTACTTTGGAGAGTGTTGGTGTATTTGAGGTAAAAAACTATGAGATTGTAATTTATGTGTTGTATTTACATAATATTATTATCTGATTATCATTAGATAATAATCGTAATTTTTCTTTAATTTTGAAGTTTTCACGTTTTATAATTGTCTTGACTGTTTTTATCTTATTTATTTATAATATTGTGTTGATTGTTTTTATCTTATTTCTTTATTAATAAGATAATTCTCGAAAATATAGACAATTATATTTTTTATGACACTTTTTTCCATAACATGTTTTGATTGTTATTAAGAAATGAACCAAAGTGACAATCAACATTTATGAATGATTATTAAAAAAGATTCAAGATTTCTATTTCATTATATACTCATTATCTTCTAATCTAAAGGCATCACACAAAATTAAATAATACGACACAACATCCCTGATATCTTACCCTATAAGACAAAAGACAATTAAAAGAAAAAGTAAAGAAAAAACAACTATAAATACTATTCCTTATATTGGATTATGTAATATATTTTTAATGTTATTTGATTTTCATTATATTTATTTAAATATTATATATTTTATATTATATTTATATTAAAATATGATGGTGTATTATTAACTAAAATAATTAATTATTTGAATGTATTTATTTAAAATATTAAAATAATATATAAAATAATAAATTATTTAGAGTTGTTTAAGATTTTTTGTTTTGAAATAAAAGTTATTTAGGACTAAAAGTACCAACATAAGAAAAATGTTTGGAAAGTGTTTTGGGACAAAAACTTAATTAACTCTTAATTGTTTATAATATATGGAGTGATAACCCTGAACACTTCAACTAGTGGAGCCATCCTAGCTGTGAACTGCTAACCTTACCAGTTTAGTAATCAATTCATTTTTTAAAACATTGTTTTATATTTTTCCCTCTTCTATTCGTTCAGACACCAATTCTTCCGTTTGCATTTTTTAAGAGTCCACGTGGATGGCCCAAAGGCACATGTCCACATAACACGTGTCCAAATCTCATAAATGTTGAAGGGTTGAGGTGGGTGCATGAGTGGTGAACACACTTAAAATACATGTTATGTTGATATGATGATTAAGACTTGTTTATTACTAACTATCTATTTCATACAATAAAATCAATTCTTATATTATCTGTCATTATCTTCATCTACCTAATATTTTCATTACATCAATATATGAGAGGAGGATATTATTTTATTTTCATAATGAAAAGAGAAATATTAACAAAAAGAAAAAATAAATCTATGAAGGATTTCTTTGAATTTCCTACGAAATCAAATGATCTAAATGAGTTTAATTTAAATAAAAATAAATATTCACAACAATATCAATTAAAAAATAATTTATATCAATATAGATTTTTTTTTAATTTATATCAGATTAAAAATAATATCATTAAAATTGAGTATAAAAAAACTCATTAATATATTTAAAAAAAAGTTTATTAATTTTTATTGATAAATAATTTAATATATATCCTGATTATATCTTCTATTTATGTAAACTAAACATAATTCTAATTCACGTAAAAAAAAATTATGTTTAACGTAAAAAAAAATAGGATAAATGTTGAACAATAAAACTCTAATTATTATTAATCAATAAATAGTATTGAGATATAAAGATGAAAATTAATCTTAACAATAATGAAAAAAAATGTTTGAATCTATTTTGAAAGAAAGTTTATGAATGTTAATATACAATTATGTTTAAATATTCCATCTCAGGATGACATCTTAATAACGTCTTAAATAAGGAGATTTTTTTTAGAAAGGAAATAATATTTTTTTAAAATTGTACTTTTTTATATAGAATTTGAAATTATATAATTTAAAGTAATTCAATTACCCTCATAAATTTTTTATTTTTTTTAAATTTTCCAAAAAACACAACATTTTGAAGAGTATCAAAATAAATTTGATTTAATAAACCATTTAAAAGAATCTAAACAAAAATGAAATCAAATAAAAAAAATTATAATATAAATTAAATTGAAATATTTTTAACATAATCCATTAATTTTAACTTAAATGAGCTTGAACTAAAATGAGCTTAACTAAAAAACGACTCATAAATTTTAAAAAATATTCATTTTATAAATTAATAGTTATTTATTAAAATATAATTATAAAACATCTCGTATTAAAGAATTATATATTTTTTCAAAATTCTATCTTATAACATGGATAATATCATATTAATATTCAAACTAAAAAATTTTCAAAGAAAAAAGTTTTGAAAATGTGTAACATTATCATATTAATCTTTGAAACCAACAAAATTTTGTTCTAAAAACGTTGAAATTCCAGTCTAATAATTATTTTAGTATAAAAATCACACAAATTATATGTAACTATGAACCATACACTTAAAAGATAAAAAATAACAATAATTGATTAAATTTAAAGACTTAACTAACATTTAAAATACTCATTTAAAATTTTCTTAGTTTCAAACATTAATATCACAACCTTTTACACTGAAAAAATAAATCCCATTTATGGTGTCTTCTATAACACACATGTTTCAACTGGTGGTGACCAAGTGTGGCATCACAGGAAAAAGAAAACAAAAGCAGTGTCACATTTTTAACCCAATTTATTGTGCTGTGTAAGAGTTTGATTGATGAATAGCACAAATCCAGAAGAGAGAAGAGAAAGGAGAGGCTTATGAAACGGTCTTGGGAATATGTGGCCTTCCATAATGACAACATTGAATGCAGTTCCAGTCCCATACCTGCCTCTCCACTCTTTACTTAAATGCTCCACATGCCTACCCTAACACCTCTGTCATAGTGGTTGGTATGGTGTATGCATTGGAAGGATCTCTTCCCTTGTTAAAGGCTACACACTAGTAAATACTCTTCTAAACCTACCAAGATATATACATAAAAAGAAAGGTGATTCTTCACCACCACATAACAAATAGTGTACAAGGATGGAGAAAACAAGTGTTGTGGAAGGTGCAAGGTCTCCCATGCAGATGAAGATGGTTGATGAACTGGAAGGCAACACCAACACCCTACGCACTGCTGAGACCTTCCTACGGTTGCTTCCTGTTGGTCTTTGTGTTTCAGCACTTGTTCTTATGCTTAAGAACTCTCAGCAAAATCAATATGGCTCTGTTGATTACACTGACCTTGGAGCTTTCAAGTATGTAAATATAACACTCCTATATACCTAGAGGAATTATATATCTTGTTTCTTCGAGTTCTTAGAATGCTTTTTACCATAAGAAGAAGATAATAAGAGATTAGGGGAAACAAATATAGGGTATAGTGACAGTGGACAGTGAAACAGTTTTCGTATGCTACCTCTATCACTAATGCTGCACTAATCAGCAATTTCATCCTCAAAGTTACAAATTAATTTGTTAAGGATTATAAGTACTAAATAACTATTTGAATACTGAAACATCTTTTAAATTAGTATGTGGAACTACTTAGAATATATATTATATTTTGAAAATTGGATCTTTAATTAATTGAACCAATATCCATGATTGAAACTACCAAAATAATACAACAAAGACCATTATGCACTGATAGTTACATGTTGCAATTGGTAATTCTGGGCATTTATGGTGAACTTTTTAGATCTGAATGAGAATATATATGAAAATGGTGACAGATTTATATTGGTATATGGGTTTTGGATGTTGCAGGTATTTGGTGCATGCCAATGGCATTTGCGCAGGTTACTCTCTATTTTCAGCTGTTATCTCAGCTATGCCACGCCCTTCCACTATGCCTCGTGCTTGGACTTTCTTTTTGCTTGATCAGGTCATCATCTCACTCATTCTTAGTTTCTTCCTTTTCTTCCTGCAACACTAAAGAGATTATAAATGCTCCAAATAATGATAGTCAAATAGAACAAAATGAAACAAATCTCTGTCACACAAACAACAAACGATGTGGTTGTGGTCCGAGTGGCTTCATCAATGGTGTCATGGGGATTAGGGTGATGTCCTGTGGTGCTATTCAAATCTGACATGCTTTCAAATTCTGTAAATATTCTCAGCTTTTGCCCGAGTTTAGGTGGCTCCAGTAATGGTGTACTTAGAAGTGGTAAAATAGATGATTTGAGTCTGTGAATCAGTTATTGGTTACAGATGGTTGGACTAAAAAAAGTATAGATATTGACTAAATTTACACCTTCAAAATGACGTCCAAACTTACGAAAAGCAAAATTTTCAGCCTTTTGACAGTTTTTGCAGCTAAACTTTAATCAAGTTATAATCATATTAGACTAAAAACGACTTGTATTTAATTTGACTTTAAAACTTAAATCTCATATTTTATCTAGCAAATGGGCTGTTCAGTATGAGATGAGTTGAGTGGATTGAGGTATAAAAAAACAAGTTCAACTAGATCAAACCAAACACTATGTTCATCTTTTAATATGCTTGGTTCATTCATTCGAGCCATTTTGCATGCATGTACTGAAAAAAACTTGTCCAATTTGCGTTGTTAGGTGCTAACATACATAATTCTAGCTGCTGGAGCAGTGTCAACTGAGGTATTGTACCTTGCTGAGAATGGAAACACTGCAACAACGTGGAGCGCAGCTTGTGGGTCTTTTGGTCAATTTTGTAATAAGGTGACAGCATCAATAGCTATCACATTTGTGGCAGTTCTTTGCTATGCGTTGCTTTCCCTCATTTCCTCTTACAAACTGTTCACCAAATATGAGGCACCAGCATGCAGACCTACTGCACCCATTGAGGTTGCTGCTTTCCCTGGCTGACTCACCCCATATATGTATCAGTTATGAGCTTTATATACATGTGTGTGTCCTTAAATGCTTTCAATTAGTAATGTCATGACATATACTTTTCAATTGTGAGTTAACACTGCAGTTCATGGATGCCTTATTGGCTTGTTTTGCTTGTGCTTACAAACTGTGCTTTCTTTTTCAAAATTTGGTATGTGAAATTATAACATTAAAAAATATAAATTATAGTATATAAGTTCTGAACTATTTTGACAAATTTTAGTTGATCCTTAAACTATTTTTTATTATCTGAACTTGGATTTGGTTTTTAGTTTGTTCTTTGTTGATAACTTTATTTAAAAAATAAATACAAGAAAACTAAATTAAAAAGTAGTTTAATGACATGTTTTTTAAATATATTATTATTTTTAACTATAATTTGTCATGAGATGTAGTAAACATTCTATACTCTTATATATATATATATATATTAGGAATGTATCTATATGAATTATTTGTATGATAAATAGAGGTGCTTTGTTGTAAATCATTATCATGTAACATATATATGGTATAAAGAAATCACACAATTAATAATAATCTTTAGTAAAAAGTCAATAATAAAATAATGGTGTAAAGTAAATTTTAAAAGGAGAGTTAAACAGTGCTTTATTCAACAATCTAATAACAAAAAAAAAAAGGTTATACTTGAAACCACAATTTTAATGTAAAAATAAAAGAATAAAGAATTATTTAAAAGCATATTTTTTTAATAATTTTTCCATCGCGAACTTATCCAATATATATTTATATTTTTAAGAAATTACTTTAAAATGTAAATATATAATTAATATTTAAAGTATATTTCCCTTCATTTGGGTTGCACACTAAATATACTATATGATTAACTAAATAAATATAAAAGCGATATAATTTTCTTAATGAATACTAATTAACTATGTACATAATGCTTAATAAAAACTAATAATCACAATACACAGGGTATCTCCATTAATCAGAGCATATTACGCCCAATAACTTCGCTATATAAACATATTGGATCAAAATTTGAAAAAGAATTAAATTTGTGTAATGATAACCATTACAAACTAAACGGAAATATATTTTCATTTTGTATACAATAATTTTTATTTATTTTTCTTAAACTAAACATACCATAAACGTAAATGTATTTTATCCACATGATTATCCAACAATAAATTAAACAACAGTGAAAATTACAAATGGACTAGACTTAATTTTAGGTTAAAAAGGAGTGTAATAAAAAATCCAAATTTTATGTCTATAAGAAAATTGAGTTTTTAAGCAAGATTTTATTATAAAAACAAAAGAATATTTTTTTTCCTATAATAATAACATTTGAGTAAACCATGTTTACTTTTCCAAATTATGTTTGTAACAACCGAAAAAGAAAAACAGAAAACATTTATGGTCATTGGAGTTAATTTGGTTCCGAATTGTAACATTTCAATTCGTATATATACACTCACTGTGACCCACCAAAATCCGACGCAGACCCTTTCCTCATTCTTCGTGCCCATTGCGTTTCTTTGGGAACACTGCTGTGGCACCAGAACTCTGCACCATCACCCCAACCTTGTCTTCACCCCTCGAACTGCATCTACAATGTCGTTTATCTCTCTCACTTTCTCACTGTGATCACTTCCTATACCCATCACTAATGCATTCATAATTCACTATCAGCTTTCTCAAAGATTAATTTTTTCACTATTCTTCAGTCTGTTCTTCTGTTCAATGTCTCTATTTTTTGCTTCCTTTGTTAATTTTACAGCATTTTTCTTTTCTGATTTTATTTTCCGCTACATTTTGCAGAGTTGTTGGACGGTGTTTTTTTTTTTTCGTGAAACAATGAAGAAGAGCAAGACAAGGAAGGAGGATATTGCTGAGGACTGGTGTTTTGCATGCAAGGATGGAGGGTTATTAATGGTCTGTGATCATAGGTAAGTTTCACCTCACAAACATGTATATTTGTAATTAATGCAATTTTAATTTTAATTTTGAAAATATCAGAATGAGATAGGACAATTTCAAAATTAATGAGATATGGAATTCCTATAAAACTTTGATATCCTACGTTGACCTTTTTTTTTTCCCTTGGGTAGTGTGACATGTGAATCTGCAATAAAAAGAACATCAAATATAATTACTGAATTATTTTTAGTTTTATTTTTGGTCTTTATTGGCTACATAGTACTGTGGCTTTTCACTCATGTCTGTGTTTTTGTGGGCTGGCCTTGCAGCAAACAGAGAAATTTGCTGAGGTATTAAGATAGGAATTGCTCATACTTTAGGCTTTGTTTATTTTACCTTTTGTTGACTAATTACTTAGAATTTTTTTCAATCCTCTGTATAATTACTTAATGGTAGATCTAACTTTGGATGGAATCTTGGATCATTTTATTTCCTGGAAGATACTTTCTTTTTGACTGTTAATTAACTCATGTTTCTTGAAGGGATTGCCGGAAAGCTTATCATCCTCGTTGCGTAGATAAAGATGATTCTTTTTTGGAGAATGGAAGTAAATGGACTTGTAGTAAGCTGCTTCAATTTATCAACCTACCATTATTGGAAGACAGTCAAATATATTCCCTTTATGCAATTGATTCCACCATGAGATCTAGTTGCTTATCTTATATATATATATATATATATATATATATATATATATATATATATATGGGAATAGTTCACAGATGCTCCAGTTGATCTCTTCTGCATTATTTGTTGTCTGAACCTGCATATCTTGGATTATCTAAAAAATTCAAACAAAAAGCTGTTTATCTGTTTACAACCCCTAAGAAACTTTATATACGGTCTTTTTCTTTTTCCTGGCATGGTTATAAAACTGTTTGTTGAAATTGGAAGCATTGTACAAAATTTAGAACGAATAGCTGTCATGATTAAATGCGCCTTTCCCCTGATTCCTCTCTCTATTCATGTTTAAGAGATTATGGTAGAATGCCTTTTGATCCTTTTGTTACTGAAGGACTTTTGAATACATTCTTTGCAGGTTCACATTTTTGCTCCCTTTGCCATAAAGCGTCTAAGTTTAAGTGCTTTTTCTGCCCAACAGCTGTTTGTGGGAATTGTATGTATGATGCTGAATTTGCTACTGTCAAAGGGAACAAAGGACTTTGTAGTCACTGCTCAAAACTTGCATTTCTAATAGAAGATGATGCTGATATTGATTCTGATGGGGTACGATTGTTTTCAATCACATCTATTATGCAGCAAGGTTAAAAGAAAGACAAATTGTGTGACAGTATTTGGAATCCTAACTTTTAAAACAAAATGGACAATTGCTATTTGTTTACCATTTATGTAAATTACAAGTTTAATTTTTTCGTATGAATTTCCGAAGTAAGTTACAAAATACCTATTAAAACAATACAGGTTGTTAGCTGGGGCAGTAATAGTAATAGAGGCACTTGTTCTATTTTCTTTTTACCTGTTTTGGAAAAATCAAAATGGTTCTCTTTAGTTTGAAAGAGAACTTTGGAAACATATCCTGAAACTGTTTTATTGTTATTATTTTTGTTAAGGAAAAAAATTGTTTATAAAAACACTAAAAAGAATGAAATTGGCACTGTATTTCTTGCATTCCTATCGCTTTTATGAACTGATATTTGGAAATAAAATCTTACATTTTATAGTTACACATGGTCTTTTACTGTTGGAAGCTTGATGCATCCTGATCAATGGAATATTTTCATGATTGGATAAGATTTCAATGTAAGCCTAGTCGTAGAATTTTACTTCTTAAACTATGGCCAAGTGTAGTATTTTCGCATTGACATAAAAAATGTTTATTGTTTTTTTTTTCTTGATGGTAACTTGGACTGATATAACATATTTATTTATTTTTATATCACTTTATGTTTCATGGTTTTTTATCAACAGGAATTGGTAGATTTCAAAGATCGAGATACATATGAATGCTTTTTTTCAGAGTATTATGAAATCATCAAAGAAGAAGAAGGGCTGACTTCTGAACATGTATACTGTGCACATAGATTCTTTAAGAATGGTAAAAGCAACTGTGATTTGGATCCAGACGAAATAGGCGTAGGGGAGGATGATACTGGTGATTCTGAAGATGTGAGTAACTTTATAGTTTCTGATGATGACCAGAATGACACAGCTGGATCAAAGTCAGAGAGGAAAAAGAATGGCTTGGGAAAGTTGAAATCAATGAAAGGAAATGTGAAGGATAAGAAAAAGGAGTTTATTGGTTGGGGTTCAAGAAGTCTCGTAGAATTTCTTGAATATATCGGTAAAGACACAAGCGATGAATTTTCTGAACATGATGTTACTTCAATCATTATTGATTACTGCAGAGAAAACAAACTTTTTGACCCTAAGAAAAAGAGAAAGATACATTGTGATGCACAACTGAGATCTTTACTGGGAAGGAAATCAGTAAATAGAAACAACATGCAAAATCTTCTTGCACCACACTTTGCTGAGAATTTTGATGATATGGATAATATCAGTAGTAGTTCTGAAGATAGGGACTACAATGAGGCATCCAATGTTTCAAGAAAGAGAAAATCGGTTTCATGTTCGAAATCTCATAATCTGAACCTAGTTTCCGAAGAGCATCAGAGCTGTCTTGCAGCCATAGTTAGTTCGAACCTCAAGCTTGTCTACTTGAAGAGGAGTTTAGTGGTTGAACTTTCAAAGCAACCACAAACTTTTGATGGCAAGGTTCTAGGAAGTTATGTAAGAGTCAAAGCTGACCCGTACGACTATTTACAGAAGAATTCACATCTTCTTGTGCAAGTTGTAGGTAATTTATCTTCGTGACGTCTTCAAACTAATAAAATAGTAATTTATAGATTTGTAAATTTTTAATGGGAGTAAAGTAGTTAATTTTTACGGGATGTAATTTGCCTAAAATAAAATTAATTTTATGTAGTGAACAGATAACCATGTCTGTACATCTATTAGTAAGATATCATTGTTTTATATCTAGTGAGTGTTGTGGTATAATAAGTGACTTAAAGGTCTGTAGGTGTATAAACTACATTTGTAATGTAAAATTGCAGAAGATATTGTGCATAATGCTTTGTCAAATTCTCAAAGAAAACTACTGCTTGTTATACTTGATTAAATAATATTATTGTTTTTGACAAGACACGTAAGACATTAATTTGATTAAGCTCATCACAACTTCATCTTGAAATTCATTTTTTTTTTCAATATTTTCAAGTTTTTTAAAAGAATTAGTGGTTCGTGCATGTCATTTGGACAGTAATTTTCTTGTATTGGAAGAAAAAGATACCGAGCCATAAATTGTATCCAGAACACATATCTAGAAAATATAAATGAAATATAGAATATTAAGCATTTTGTATCGTGTTATTTTTTTCGGTGCAGTACATTGCTGTTGAAGGACAACATGACTGATGCTGTTATACTGGCTACCATACTTTTCTAACATGCATAATTGACATTCTATATGTGCAACAATACAGGAGTAGACAGATGTTCGAAGGATGATGAAATAAACAAGGAAATTATGCTTCAGCTCTCCAATGTGCCGAAAAATGTACCTATCTCCAAATTATCAGATGATGACTTTTCTGAGGTATGAATGCTGTGGCGATAAGATTTTTTTTTCTCTAATTTCCCCTGTTCCTTTATATAAGGAAGCAAAATAAGCAATAGTTTCTAAGTAGAATTGTATGTTTGTTTTGTAGACAATTTTTTTTTTCTTTTGTTTGGTGTTGAATGATAGCTATACAGATGATGCTAGGATTTCTGAGTTGATCATAGTTTAAACTCGTTAGAATTTATTTTCGCTAATATGTGATCTGAATGGCCATATTCTTTACAGGAATCATGTCTAATAACTACAGAGTTACTCTGATCCTACTTGTTTGTATAAATATTTTCTATGGATTCATAATTATAATTTTTGGTGTTATCGCAGGAAGAATGTCAAGATTTATATCACAGAATGAGAAACGGTCTGCTCAAACAGCCTACTGTGGTTAGTTTGCTGTGTATGACTTATGAGCGATTTAGTGTATAGCATCAATAATATTCTTATTGCCAATTGTTCAAATATTAGTAAGGGCACTGTAAATCTTTTGAGGTTAATAATAGTTTATTATCATTAGCTGCAAAACTATATTGGTTATGTTTGTAGTTTTCTGCAAATAAAAATGTGAACTAATTTTAATAATATAACTGTTGGAGATCATATCAATTAGAATAATTCAATTTTGATTTGTACTAGTCATAATAGGATTTAATGCCAACATAATAGGATTTAATGTTAATATAATCAGTTTTATTCCTTTATTGATGGACAATATTTATAGGGAGAATATTTCCTTGATTGTCAAGGATAGATTAGTGTACAGGTTTGTTATCTTTTATTCTATTTATACTTCCTTTGTATTTTTCTTTTCCAAAATAAGAAATACATAACTTATTTTCCGCAATAACAGTAGTACTGTATCTATGGAAGCCTTTGGAGCAGAGTTTCAATATGGCTTCTAAATGGTTGCCACCATTTAATTTGATCAGCCAAATAAGATGAGAGAGTTTTCTTATCCATTTTTGAAGCAAAGGGTTGTTGCTCTTTCCTGTTTGAGGAGAGTTTCCAGTCAAAGGGTAACCCGTTTTACCTTTGCCGTTAAAGGCTTGAACTCATTCAGTGTAGTGTCTTCCGTTAAGCTTTTTGGATTATAACTGTAATTTAGAATGAGGGCAGAGCATCATCATAGATATTGGTCCCGAAACCTCTCTCAATCCCACAAAACTATTTGAAAGATATTGTCCAAGCATTTGTAAACTCTTTATGTCTCTAGTGGATGTGAGACTGAACTATCACATTTGAGGCTGCAATTGAGGCAGTCCCTAAAGAGGCCACAACTTGTTGTGTTGGAAAAAACACCCATTTTTATGAGAGGAATCATGTCAATTCTGCGTGAAAGCTTACATTAGTTGCTTCTCATCTGATGTGAAAAACCATGTCATACCACTATACCAAACATGCTTTAAGGTGGGTTGAGCGACTTTGTCGGAAATTTTGTAAAATAAAAATATAGAAATAGTGGAACTTGTGTAGAAAATAGAAAGATAAAAAATGGAGGAAAATAATCATCGAAGTTCTTAAATGAGAATGTCTAGGTATAATAGGCTTACAACCAATTTGATATTCCTAAAATATGTAAGCTATCATTAGATTTATTTGAAATTTAAATTTACTAACTGAACGAAACATAAAAGATAAAATCTACAAGATAACACATTCTCTGTCTAAAACTTATTCAAAATTTTAGTAAGGGGAAAATCTCATAACTAACACTCTTTCTTGAAATTTGTCATGGAAATGTTGAGCTTTAACTTCATGAACTTCAGCTTGATATTGGAAGTGCTTTAGTCATTATGCCAACAAGATATCCATCAATTTCTTGGCTTAAATCATAGTCATAATAGTCATTTTATTTAACTTCTCCTATCTTTAAACGTTTAATGCCATGATTTGTTTTCACAAATTTATCTTGCATGAAAGTTAAGGACTTCAAGTTGAGGTTACTAAATCAAACTTCAAATAAAAACTATTTATAATCGTTATAACTTTTATCATCTCTGTTCCATGTTCACTAATGATAAAAAGTAATTTTCTTTAAAAGTGACCATGTATCTATATGTTGATTTACAACCAAATATCTGTGTCTTCAGTTCTAGTTGAGTTAGGGCCATTGCAGATATATTTTAATTAGCCTTTTAAGAGTTTGGACCTGATTAAGTGGGCTTTTTCTCTTGGATGTGCATTATGTTTTTTATATGCTATAGTTTGATTTCTAGAATAATATAATTTGTTGGTTAGTCCTAGTACAATGATGTGACCAACAGATGACAACCACCTCCTTATGTTTGACAGCTGGAGCTTGAGCAGAAAGCCAGAAGTGTACATGAAGATATAATAAAGCATGTATGTACTTATCAATATTATTTGTCCCTTTTGCTATTATAACGATAGAATGCAATTTCTTGTAGGCTATCAGTTAAACACGCTCTATGCATCATAAAATTCAACAACGGCAAAGGCTCACTTATTAATTACTATTTTACAAAATTCAATGTTAGAGCTCATTGTATATAGTTAGAATTTTGTAATTATGAAACTCTAAGCACATGCCAGCTGATAGCAAACATATTAGGCAAACTGAATTTTTAAATCTGCCATTAAATTATTACTTTAATCCATTATGCCTAATGCTTATTTTGTCTACTGGCATGTTAACATTATTGAACACCTGATTCTTTTAGACTATAAAAGAACACCACACGTGTAATTCTTTTTACTGATATTTGTCTTTATCTTTTGCTTTATGTGACAGTGGATCCCAAGGAAGTTACTATTATTACAAAACCGTATTGATCAGGCAAATGAAAAGGGATGGAGGAGAGAATATCCTTTCATGAGATACATTTTAGATTGTTGCCTCATACTTGTAGCTAATGGCCAAAGTATTTTCAATTGTTATCCATTTTAATGCTTGATCAAGCATATCTATCTCTTAATCGATTTAAAGTTGGAGAGAAGTTGTAAGCTAAACTGAAAACTGTTATTACTGCTTTGATTTTTGATAAATTTTGTATTATTCTCTGTTTGGAGTTTTATGATTTCTGTGAATAGGCAGATTGACCCTTGACCATTTTCCGTACACTTTCTGAGTACATAGATCAAAAACTGAAGCTTGAGACACATGTGGAGCAATCACGTCTATTAAATGACATGCCAAAAGTAATTCCTGAAATAGTTGATACCACGCGATCCCCAGACGGTTCCCCAATAAGAGATAAGTTTGAGCAAAATGGCTTGTCAGAATTATCCAGTGGACAGACTTGTAACTCTGTTGGACACTATTCCAAACACAGTGGTTTTGCTCATTGTCTAAACAGTAGATCAGATGTTGCAGGTTTGCTATGTTTTTCTGTCTTTACTTCCCTTTTGTTTTGCATATTTATATTATCGTAAATAGACAAATAGAATATAAATCAGGTTGATGTTTGTTATAAAAGTGTTGTGTTTATTTTGTCTGATAAGTCTGATGCGTCAAATTTGTTTTGAAACTTCTTCAATATGGTTGAAAATCAGTTTGATACAAAATTTAGTATTATTTGTACTGAAAACAAAACTGAAAACTTTAATAGTTGCCCAGAGGCGGCTATCTTTAACTAAAATAGGAATTCAGCAATTATCTATATATCCTAGCATCCTTATTAGGATGTCTGGAAAATTAGATTAAATGAAATCTTATTTTATTATTTTAATACAAAGAGATCATACAACATATATACATGAGACCTAAGTTATTTTAGGAAATATAATACTCTATTTTATTCTAGGATCTCTTGATTTATGGGATTGTTCCTAATTGTTCAAATTTGTACAGATTACAAATTTCCTAATTTATTCTTTCCTAAAATACTATTTGATTTCCCACACTCCCCCTCAAGCTGGTGAATAGGTGTTTTCCAATCCCAACTTGGATACAATCTTCTCAAAATTGTGGCAGCTCAGTCCCTTGGTAAGAATGTTTGCAATTTGGTCTTGAGAGGACACATATGGAGTGCATATCAAGCCACTATCAAACTTTTCTTTGATGAAATGTTTGTCTACTTCAATATGCTTTGTTCTATCATGATGCACTAGGTTGTGAGCTTTGCTGATTGCTGACTTATTATCACAATAGAGCTTCATAGGTTCTTTCCATTTTATCCTCAAGTCTTCTAAGATGATTTTAAGCCATAACAACTGACATGTACCTTGTGCCATGGCTCGGAATTCTGCTTCAGCACTGGACCGAGCCACTACACCCTGCTTTTTGCTTCTCCAAGTCACAAGATTTCCTCCAAGAAAGGTGCAATATCCTGGAGTTGACCTTCTATCCACAATTGACCCTGCATAATCAGCATCAGTATAGGCTTCAAGCTTCACATTACCATTCTTTTAAATAGAATCCCTCTTCCTGGAGTTTCTTTAAGGTCTGCTTGTAAATGAGTCTCTTTTGGGTTATGCATAAATTGGCTAATTAAACTTACTGCATAGGTAATATCTGGCCATGTATGCAACAAATATATAAGTCTGCCCACTAATCGTTGGTACATATCTTTTTCAACAACAACATCTTCTGCATTTTCAAGCTTTAGGTTTGGTTCTAATGGGGTACTAGCAGGTTTGCAAGCTGCCTTGCCAGTTTCCTTGAACAAATCAGTGATGTATTTCTGCTGGGATATAAATATCCCTTTCTTGGAGTGGGCAGCTTCAATTCCTAAAAAATATTTTAGTTTTCCCAAGGTCTTGATCTCAAATTCCTTGCCTAAGTATTGGCTCAACAATTGCTGCTCTTCTTTATTATCTCCAGTTAATATTATGTCATCCACATACACCAATAATATTGTTACTCCCCCTGACTTGGAATGTTTAAAGAACAAAGTATGGTCCCCTTGAATTTGTTTGTAACCCAGACCTGTCATAACTTTAGTAAACCTGCCGAACCATGCACGGGGGGACTGTTTTAGCCCATATAATGCCTTTTTCAGCTTGCAAACAGTGTTGGCAACAATATCTCTACCATATCCCGAAGGTATTTCCATATAAATTTCTTCTTCAGGGTCTCCATGTAGGAAAACATTCTTAACATCAAATTGTTCCAAGTTCCACCCATAATTGGCAGCAAGGGACAATATCACCCTAACTGTGTTCATTTTGGCAACCGGAGCAAAGGTCTCCAAATAATCAACTCCATAGGTTTGGGTGAACCCTTTGGCAACTAGTCTTGCCTTATATCTCTCAATTGATCCATCAGTCTTGTATTTCACTGTATAGACCCACTTACATCCAATTGACCTCTTTCCTATTGGTAAGGTGACTAACTCCCAAGTGTTGTTCTTCTCCAATGCCTCCATCTCTACATCCATGGCTTGCCTCCATTTTCTGTCAGACAATGCCTCAGATAGGGTATTAGGTAGAAATACAGTGTTTAGGTTTACTAGGAAGGTTTTATGGGAAGAAGAGAAATTTTTAAAGGACAGGTGATTTGAGAGAAGGTAGAGTGGTTGTTTGGTGCATTTTCTTGTCCCTTTTCTAATGGCAATTGGAAAGTCAGGATTATTTTGGGTTTCAATTTCAACCTGCACAGCTGGAGAAAAAATTGTTACCTCTTTTTGTGGAGTCGAGTTGGACTCTTGAACATGGCTTGATCCTGGAATGACTTTAGTCTTCCTTGAGTATACCAGCTTCTTACCAAAATTTTCAGCTTCAACATCTTCTTGATCAGCTTCACAATTAATTTCACTTTCTTGACCAATTCCTTGATTTGTTTCATTTGTTACAGTTTCAATTTGATATCGTTTAGATTCAAATATCAAGTTTGGAAGAATGAGAAAACCAAAATTACTACTTTCCTTATCTTTCCTGAAACTCTCCCCCTGAAAATAAGGTTGATGGAAATAACCCTCTTGTTCATTGGAGGTAACATCCCTAGACACAAAGAATTTTTTGGATGGGGGTGGTAACATTTATACCCTTTCTAAGTGGGTGAGTAACCAATAAAGACACACTTTAAGGCTCTAGGATCAAGTTTCCCCTTGTCTGTACCATGAATATGGACATATGAAATGCACCAAAAAACTCTTGGTTTAAGATTATTTGTAGTAGACAGGTTTGGATAGAAAGACGACAAAGCTTTCATAGGACTTTTTTATCCTAAGATTCTAAAGGGTAGTCTATTGATAAGGTATGTTGCTGTAAGGACAGTTTCCCCCTAGAAATTTTTTGGGACACTTTTTTGGAACAACAATGCTCGAGTCTGATTTAATAGATGTCCATTTTTCCTCTCTGCGACCCCTACTGTGGTGTTTTGACACAAGAGGACTCATGAATTATACCTTCCTTTTGACAAAAAGAATTAAGGACATGTTTTGATATTATCTGACCTAAGCCTCTTAATATTAACACCAAACTGATTTTTTATCAAGGAGTGGAAGTTTAGGAAGACAGAACTGACTTCTGATTTTTGTTTAAGTAGGAAAACCCAAGTGACTCTTGTATAGTCATCTATAAAGGTGACAAACCATCGAGCATCAGACACATTTGGAACATTAGAAGGTTCCCATACATCAATATGAACAAGATAAAAAGGGAAATTGTCAATTCTATTATTTATTGAAAAAGATACACGCTTGTGCTTAGCAAGTTCACACACCTCACAATGAACACTCTCAACATTTAACTTGGTAAACAGAGAGGGAAACATAATTTGATCACTCCAAAAGAGGGATGTCCCAACCGAACCGACAATGATAAAACATGATTTTTTCTCTGTTGGTCATCAAGGATTCAGATATGAAGGAGTGAGAGATTCTGTTCTTACTGGATAGACTTGGATCTTCGAAATAATAAAGGTCATTCCATTCTCTAGCATGTCCAATCATCCTCCCTGAATCCTTGTCCTGAAATACACAATGATTGTTGAAAAAGACAACTTTACATGACAAATCCTTTATAAGTTTTTGTATAGACACTAGGTTGGTGGACAACTTTGGCACATGGGGAACATCTACTGTAGCAATTTTCTTGTTGTTGGGACATGGGGAATATGTGGAGAAGTGTTTGGCTAATGGTGTCATGTGGTCTGTGGCTCCAGAGTCCAATATCCAATAATGGTTAAAAGGTGTATCTGAGAAAGTGGAAACTTATCTGAGTATGCTAAAGAACACACACCTGTAGGTTTTTCCAGCTTACTAAGAAAGGTTTTCACCCTTTCTATCTCCTCTTGGTTAAGATGGGTAGCAGCTTCTGGATTATTTCCTTCATTTGTTTCAGCAGCAACATAAATTTGTCCTCCTTTTCTTAAGGAGCCTCCTCTGTGTCCCCCTTCTCGATCTCGATTTAAAGGCTTCCCATGTAACTTCCAACACTTCTCTCGGGTATGATGAGGATTATTGTACAACAGAGACTATCACCTTTCTTCTCCACATTTGCTGATCCTCCTTTCTTCTGTTCGGCTTCCCCTTTCTATTCAACACTGTACGAACAAGTTGGACCCACTTCAAATAATTTCTTCCATTTAGTCTGTAGTTCTCCAGATTGCTGGGATTGGATATTCCCCGTTTCTGAGGTTGGGTTCACAACTTCCTCTTCCCTTGACATTATAGCAAAAAGGTGCAATGCAACAACAATGCAGGCTGTTGTCTTAGGGTTAAGAAAAGTACAACAACAATTCAAGCTGTCGTCTTAGGGTTAAGAAAAATGTAGCAGCAATGCAGGCTGCCGCCTTAGGGTTAAGAAAAAATGCAGCAGCAATACAAGTTGCCGTCTTAGGGTTTATAGTGCGTAGACAGAACTTTTTAGATCGGAAGCTCTGATACCATCTGGAAAATTAGATTAAATGAAATCTTATTTTATTATTTTAGGAAATATAATAACTCTATTTTATTCTATGATCCCTTGATTTATGGGATTGTTCCTAATTGTTCAAATTTGTACAGATTACAAATTTCCTAATTTATTCTTTCCTAAAATACTATTTGATTTCCCACGTAATGGTTTTGCCGAAGAGATAATAGACACTTGCTTGAACTTGTTTGGGTTATCTTGTTTAATATGCATCCTAAATATTTGTGGCGAGAAGTTGTATTAATAGCTTCATATTTAATAATTAATAAATAAAATGCCTACTCATGTGCTGATTTTTATTGATAACTTTAGACAGCTTCAAAACTCTTAACCAGGTTGAGAATATATGCTAACTAACCTAAAAAAATCTGGTTTTATTAGCTTTGTTTAAGTACAATAAATTCTAGGTCTATACTTAATCCATGTGCTGAAAAATGTGATTTCATACGATATGCTCTTAGTAAGAAAGGATATAACTTTTGTAGCTTCACAAGAAAAATCGCTACGTCAGTATGGATGTACCCTTTTAGAGAACTTTTATTTCTCTTATGAACATGATAAAAACCAATTAAGATACTTGAGTCTTTCTTAGTCATGGCATCGGGCGTGGGGTGGGTTTTGCTTTCCTAACTTTCTTAATCATTCCCATCCCTACTCCCAAACTTTGTTAATGTCAGAAATTAAGTCCTGGTCTCCATTTTTGTTGGGTTTCAAGTTGTCCTGCCTCCGACTTCTTCCATGCTATTTTTAAAAATACAATCATACTTATTACTTATAAAAATTAATTTAACATTATTTTTTTAAATGTATTGTTTTTATACATAAATAAATATTTGTAATATTATAACTTTTAAATTATTATTATTGATTAAGTATATATTTTAATTATTATATTTATATTAAAATATGTATATAAAAAATATTTGATCATTTATTTTTTCTTCATATAGATATAGAATAAGAGTAATGTAATGAAAATTTTAATTATCAATCCTTCAAAATACAATAATGTAGTCAAAATAAAATTTGATATCTTATAAATAAGACAGGAAGCATGAAATAAAAAAAATTAATAAAGATAAATTGGAAATAAAATGGCATTAGGTGCCACTAATATCGATGTACAATATTTAGAGAAGATAAGGAAGAAAAAAATTAACTTTATGTGTTTGTCAAACTGGTTGAAGAGATTGATAAAGGAAGAAGAGTGAAAAGTGGGTGAGAAAAAAGTGAAGTGTGTGGAATAGAGAAGAAACCACTCTGACACGATCAATAGAAATAATCAAGAAAAACAATAGAAAAGTCTTTGACACGATCAAACAATCACGATCTTGATAACACTTTTCTTGAAGTTAAGCTGATTGAACAGTGATCACGAGTGGGGGCGTCCTACAAAAACACTTTGATGCTTAAGTGTGTAAAGGAATAATTCTTACCGGATTTCTTAGAAGTAATAATTTATACTTGTTTAATCCTAATTATTGAGTTTTTAATATTTCTTTAATGCTCGTGATATGTACTCGTGCAGTTAAAGCCATTTATTGCACGTTATTACGTTATTAATAATATACGTTTTGGATTTGGCAAGTCGGACAAGTACATAAGCCCTCTGATCTCAGAGCCCTTATGGGCGAATGGGTTTACTTGTTGTCGAGTTTAGATCTATTTGAGCTACAAAGTTAGTATTCGAGTTTAGGTATTGAAAGTCTAGCACTTTTAGGTGTCTTTTCATCTTCTCACGCATGTTATGATGACTATGACTCACACTTTAATGAGGAGTTTTTTGGGGTGATGTATTGCATGTAATACATCGTCGAAGGGTCATCTGAACATCGTGAGCTAGAAACTAAGAAAACAGTGATCATAATTGGTTTGAGCTCCACTAGGGGGAGTCAAAGGACTTGGTTTCCTCCTCTCTCAAATCCGATTACTTAGAGAAATTGACTATTGTGCTTTTGAACTTATTTCCACATATTCCATGGAAGATATTTGTAAAGCATATGAGATTTGCTCTGACTCAGATGTTGGTCATATCACTGTTGAGACTTGTTCCCCTTTTGATTAGGTTTACATGAAGCCCTCCTTAGATTTCGACTTTTGTATATGATTGGATATTGTTGCTCCTTTTTTTGACTTTGAATGTCACATGCTGTCCATTCTTTGTGTGGCCCCAAGTGAGCTTCATCCAAATAGTTGGACATTTTTGAAAGCTTTTCAAGTTTTGTGTGATATTCTCAATTTAACTTCTACTATGAATAAATTCATGTATTTTTACCAACTAAAACATGGTTAAGAAGTTCGTTGGGTTGGGTGTCTTTAAGTGAAGCTTCTCCATTCCCTTGGGTATCACACGAAGCTTCACCCCATCCTCTAACGTACGACCATGTGGTATTTGAATCTGCCAGCAGATAAGCTGATGATGTGTAATGCCTTTCCTTTGCTACTTGACATCGAGATGATTAGAACCATGGGTCTTAGGGATAGCTTGGATTTTGTTGAGGTTATGCATAGGCGATGCTTGTCAATATTACACATGTGTAAGTACACTATATCTGACTTGCACCGGGGTGAGTCAGGATTAGAGGATGAGGGAGATGACGACCCTCCTGATACAAAAAGAGGAGCTTTTGACTGTTATTTCCAATCATGAAGTTGCATTCTCTACCAAAGTGAAGGAGAATGAATTCCATGCTTTACAAAACACATCTTTGTTAGAGAAGGTTGTGGAGGTAGAGAACTCTATGTTAGCTGTTGAAGAAGAGGCCAATCAAAAAGTTGCAGCAGTTGAATTTTAATATGAGCTTTCTTTGTATTTTTGAGCTTATATCAATGATTTGCTTTCGTCATCTTGTCTTGAATATGTTTGTTTGAACACATTCAATATGCATATAAGCCTCAGAGGCCTATCAATGTGCTCCAATAGCCACGTTCTTTCACTCTAGTCTCCACTAGGCGAGTAAGCCGACATTAGTATAAGATTTGAATCAATAACAAGTTGGGATTTAAAATGTTTATATATGATATGAAGATAGTTTGTTGCTTATCTCAACTGTACTATGCTTTAAGATGGTTTGTATTCCATGTTCGAGATATCATTTTCTGGACAACTCTTGTAGTTTGTATGCTCATTATGAAATGAGTCCACTACTCAATATGGGCCATTCCACCACTCTTGCAGTGTATTGAACTGATTGGTTGAAGAGATTGAGAAAGGAAAAAGAGTGAAAAGTGGGTGAGAGAGAGAAGTGAAGAGTGTGGAATAGAAAAACAACAACTCTATATGTAAGGTGAGAAAGAAATAAAGAGATTTGATAGAGGGTTAATATTTTAGGGTTTAGGTTTAAATATAAAGTTAGACGAAGATGGGGTCGAAGCCGGGGTGAGGATTGCATTATCCACCCTTGTCTCGCTCCTGATTTCTTAAAGTAAGGAAAATCTGAACCACACTCGCGTCGGCACCGGATCAACTTAGTTTTTCCCTATCAACCTGGGATGGAGGTGGATAGGTCTTCGTGGATATGAGTTTGATTGTTATCCCTATTTGTTAGGTACCAACGGGATAGAATATTCAGGGCTTGTTTGGGTGAAGGGAGGGAGTGAAAAAACGGGTGATGGATACAATTAGGTTTGTTTGGTATAATATAAATAAGAATAATTGAATTAAAAAGTTAGTGGGTTTCACTAGTACTTTTTCCCTCTATTTCTCATCTTTCTCTGTTAATCTATTTATCTAACTAGTTATTTTCTATTTCTCTTCGGCCAAATATCTTTAATTTTCTTTTTGTCTCACCTATTTGTTGGGTCTTTTGAGGGAGGATTTACTAGTGGGTTATGGGTCTTTCTTTCTTATATGTTATTCAATTGTTTCATTCTTACTCAACATGAGACTTAGCTTAGACTCATACTTGAATTTTCCAACAATATTTCCATTCACATATTTTATTTTCATTCACTTTATTTTTCTTCTCTCTACCAAATGGACCCTAAGTATATTCTAGAAGAAAGAGAATTATGTACATAAAGAGAGAGCATTTACGGTTGTTACAATTACTACAGTTATGAATGGGACTTTTAAATAGATGTGGGGTAGTGATAGCGACTTCGGTATTTTGGTGTACTTAGTCTTACATTAAGTAGTAAGAGATGCTCTTATGAGTATTTTAGTGTTTGGTTCTTTCTTTTATTGTAGAGATTGAGGTATTATATTATGTGGTGCCTTCCACATTCAGTAACAGGATGTTTGATGGAGTATTTAAGTTTTCAGTTCTGCCTAGTTGTAAGAGTGGGTTCCCTAATGTATGAGTGTTTATCAATTAGGATCGGAGTCAAGTTGTTGGTGTCTCAAAAATGACTACTTATGGGGATTGACTTGAGACGTTGAGTGAAGCATCATAAAGTGTCAACTGCCGATATGTTGGCACTTAAGGATGGTGTTATTACAAGGATTTGGGTATTACGGGCTGTCTAAATTTTACATTGAGTAGTATAACATGTTTGGTAAAGTATTTTAAGTGTTTGATTTTCTCCCCTTCAGGGTTTTCCAAGTGCTTAGGTGATCAGCTAGCAAGGGGAGTTCTGGAATTGATGTATGAGAACTGTATTACAGTTACTAAGGGGAACTCTTCCCTTGGTAGAGCAATAAAATATGACCATGTTCTTGATTTTTTCCTGTCATTGTTCTTATCCTCTCATTGTATTTTGAGAACCATCAGTCTTTACCTTATCCTATCTTGTTTCCATTCCTCCAGTTGAAATAATCGCTCAAGATGTGGAAAATGATAAAGGAGTGCCAACATTAGATAGTTCTCAGCCAGGGGGAGAAAAATCGCAGTCAAATAAGGTGCTTCATGTTTATACTCGAAGGAATTTACAACAGAAGAAAGTTCAGCCTATCATTCCGACAATGGAACAAATGGATTCCATTATCTCTCCTGAAGATGTTCCAGGTAACACTGAACCCCCTTATTCTAATTCAAATTCAAATACCCCCAAAAGGTGTTAGAATTTGTGCAGGAAAAGTTCGTCTCCTATCTACATCGGAAATTAGCAGTTATGGAAAAAAAAATGAATGCTACTATTTTTTGCCCTCATCTTTTATTTTTTGGTAATCTAATAGTTTAAATTAATATCTTGGATGACGAGGATGAACAATGAACCTCTCTTCTCCCTCTATTATTATATATATATATATATATATATATATATATATATATATATATATATATATATATAAATGAATGGATTCAATCTAAGAGTAAGAGATAAAAACTTACTCTTCATCCTCATCATTCATATATTCCTATTTCTATTCCTTGGAGTAAATGGATCCCTCCTCTTCCTCTCTCTCTCTCTCTCTCTCTCTCTCTCTCTATATATATATATATATATATATATATATATATATATAATGTGTGTTGTGATTAATCGGCCAGCTTCCTGGTTTTTAGAGTTTTGTTTCCTTAATTATTGGCAACTGCTTCTTAATCCATATTTGACTTTGTAGAGACTATTGTACATTAGAAGTTAAATACACAGTTTTTTCTGTTTTGAACAAGCAAATTGTGTTTTACTCAGACAAAGGTCACTTAGATTAATTATCTTTTAATGTGTATTTCACGAACCTCTTATTATTTCATTCCTATTTTTAGTCCAGCATATCATTTCAAGGTTAAGCAATTTGTAGATGTGTATGCATTTGACTGTAAAATGTGACTTTGCTTTTTTTCCCTTTTATTTTGAGAGTTATTATGCTAGGAAACTTTATGTAGACAGTATTGGTAAATATAACTCAGTATATGCATTGTGTTGATTTTCATGGGTTAGGTCCAAAATCTCCAGTGAAGGAAAATCAAGATGGTACAGCCTTTCCTGTTGCCGGTACTGCTTCCTTATTTAAAGACAGTCCTCATAAAAATCTGCCTCAATCTTCTACTTCAAAAGGAAGGCAAGATGACCCTGATGCTAAAGCCTTTGAAGAATTGAGCAATCCAGAAAAATATGGCCTGTGCCAACCAAGGAACACTAAGTCTGGTTCTGTTATAATTAATGGCAGAAATCTGAATGCTAAGCAGGATGCAAATATCTCAGCTATTCCTGTCGAAGAACAGGAATTGAGCACTCCTACTACAAATGTCATCGTGTTAAGTGACGATGATGAACAGGAGGCAAATACTGCAAACTTTCCTGGCGGAAGAAAGGCAGTGGAGAGTCCTGATATCTCTATTTGGTATTGTGTAGGTCCTTATGGTGAAAAAGGAGGGCCCTATACAATGTCTGCACTCAAACGTTGGAGTGAAACTTCTTCAAATCCCTTAGAATTCAAGGTCTGGAAGACTGGTCAGAGTGAAACAGAGGCAATACCTCTCTCTGATACGCTGAAACGATTTTTCTCAAGTATGCAAGTAAATGGAAACGAAGGGTGAAGGCACTTCCTTAATCTAAGTATAGCCAGTGTTAATATAGAATTAAGTACATGAAGAGTTTTAACTTTTAACAACCATTTGCTTGTGTGAAATGCTGCCAAGTTAAAAGTACTTTATATGATTTTGTTTTCTTTCGGATGTAAATTTTACCAACACAATTACAACAAATTAAAGTATTGCCTTGTGCATCCAACATGTGTTTTTTTTTCATTGTACCTTCTTTCAAGCAATTTCAGCACAGAATAGGAACTCAAACCAGTGAAGCTATTAGACAGTTGTGTATTTGCTTATCAAATCCTAACCTTTTTATTTCTTGTTTCTTTTGTCTTCTAACCACAACTAATTTTGCAAGCTATGACAACTTTCTCTTGGAAAACCCGAGCAAAAGCTAAAGAATTATTCACTGCGTGATAGTGGAATTACAACTCCTTTTTAGATGTTCGCCCATTATTTTTAGCGTACAACTTAATCTTCATTTCATATACATATTCATTTCATAATTATTTTTCAATGAGTAAGCTAGTTACAGCAGATTAGAGAAATTAGGATCACACATACAGTACAGTCTGCAGATGTATCTCCTCGCTTGTAACTAGATTGAGGATGGAATTAGATTTACGTAAGCTAGGTTTCAATTATCATTTGAAACATATTAAAGTTATATAAAATGGCACGAGTGTCCATTTCTTAATAATCCCTTCACCAAAGAAACAAACTACAATTTGAAGAATATAGGGAACATGCTCCCAAGACTGTAGGATGGTAAAAGATTTAAGAAACCAGATAATTTTGTTTAGAGAACTTTATCTGTAAGCTTTAATAAAAGAAAATGTTTTATCACTTCAAATTTAATTTATACACCACAGCTTTAAAAAAAAAAAGATAAAAATCTATTAAGTACACTATTTAATTTAAACTTAAGAGAGAAGTTTCCTTCGTTTTATCCTATAAAGTGTTTTCTTCTCTTATAAATACTAATGAAAAAACATTTATCCAAAACAAGTCGTAAGTGCTACAGAATGCCCATTCTTAGAAAAATAAAATGCAAGGTGCTGATGTTTAAGAGTCTTCAATGAATAAGTAAATAGTGAGCTATATACATATTAAAAGTAACAGTAGTTAGTAGCAGCCATAATGTTCCTGAATTGATTCTTGTCTTTTTTGATAGAATAATATCCCGAGGCAAGTAATCTTCAAGCTCATTTATCATACATACCACTTAAATCATGCAGAGATAGGTACTTAAACATTTTAATTCATTGTCTGAAATGGAATCCAAACCAAACATGTTATGCTCATTGTCGAAGTCACAGTCAGAAGCTAAAAATTATATATTTTTATCAGTGCTTTTTATTCCCTAATTCCAAATTTATAACCAGCGTACACACATGTAATAACATTATGATGCTCTCATCGTCTATGAAACAACATGTAAGTGAGCAGCATGCATAATGAATCAATGATTTATGAAATATCGAGTGAATAGGATAAAGACAGAGCACGCAAGGGCATCAGATATACTTCAAACAATATTGATTTGTATAATAACCCTTTTTAAGGCTGCAAGAAGTATATCCTATTAAGCCCTTGTACAAAATTATACTTGTACTTTGCAGAACAGTTTGGCATTTTCTACATTTTGAAAAATCCTTCTATTGACTACTGCTTGCAGCATTTTCTTTCCTCCAAATTCGCAATTGTTCCTTTAACTTTTTGCTCTCTTCAAAATTAGCCTTCCGCTTCAAAGCTTTCTAGGAGAACAAAACAAAAAGATCCTTTACATACAAGAAGGAGAAGAAGAAGAAGAAGAAGAAGAAGAAGAAGAAGAAGAAGAAGAAAGAAAGAAAAAAAAAGCTCACCTCTTCTCTGAAACAGCGATCCAATTTTATTTTCAAATCAGTACATTCACCAAAGAATTTTGCAATTGGATGTTCTACATGACACTTTTGAAATAGCTCAATAATCTGCACAAAAGCATAGTGTAAATTAAATTTGGTCAAGTATATACTGCTTTACATTTGCAAGACCAATTACAGTGAATTTCAGGACCAAATGAAATTTTAGGGGTCATTTGGTTTGAGAAATAAATTTTTTATTTTATTTTTTGTTTTACTTTGGTTCCTGTTTTCTAAAGCTTATACAAGAAAAAGTAAAGCAGAAACCAATAAAAACTGTTTTCACTGTACCCCATACAAACTTTTGAAGATAAGAAATCAAGTAGAAAAGATATCTCAAACTATATAGTCCCTTAGTAATCTGAATTTCTAAAGTCCACCGTGGAATGAAAAGGCAAGGAAAGGAGATTGAAGTTTTTTGAGTATTGTGATCAAAGCTCCATTCCATTTTTTCAACATAAAACTCCACTTAGCAAATAAATGTTTACATAGCCGAAGTGATTTATGCATACGAATACTGGATTAGGACCAAACATCCTACAGCTAGTCATCATCCCATGACATGAACATAAAAATCAAATTAATAATAAGCAACAAGTACACCAATAACACAACAACAATATTTACTTAAGCATACAATAGTTATACTAAATTATTTGATTTACTTTTAAACAGGGTGCTCAAACAAACTCACTTCGGCACACATTGGGTGTTTGTGCAATGTTAACGGAGGGTGCATCTTCCCACTGTCAAATCTATTGGCAACACCTTCTCCTGCGGTGCAACCACCCACTGTTATGTTCTCTTCACAGTACCAAACGAAAACTATATAGAAAGAATTGAAATCGACCCACAAGAAATCCAGCGCAAAAAGATATTAACTTTGAAACCTAGCATAGCTATATATATTACAATATAGGAAGACATAAAGTAATGACATCGATCAAATTGAAATCCAATGAGAAAAATAAACGCAATTTAGTATTAGTAAAGACTGGAAAATGGGAAAAAGAACTTACGAGTTCAAAATTTGAGATCAAAGGCTCAAATCGGAGTTTCTAAGCGCAGTACGGTGAAGTTTTGGAAGAACGAAGAGTTGGAAGACACAGCCCATAAATCTCTAACTTTTTTTTCGTATGTTCTCATATAATGATTAATACAAAATATCAAAAATTAATTTTGGGCTTAGCCCAAATAATTTTCTTTGCAGGCGAACCTACTGCAGAATATAAAGGCCTTTTTATTCTCGCAACCCTTTCACTAACTTCACACACCCTACTATTTTTTTTTACTAAAATCCATTTGCTTCATACCACTTTTTTCTGGGCAATTTTTTTTATTATAGTCCTATATTAAAAAAATTATAAATTAGTTTTTAAATTTTAAAAATATATAAATTTAATCTTTTTATAACTTTATAATAGTAAACAGATTATTAAATATTCAACTTATATATAATTAATCTTTTTATCAATTATATTAAAAATTAAAAATCATCACTAAATATTATAGATAAAGAAATTAAATAATAAATTGAATAACTAATTAATATTTTTACATATAAAAATTAAAATCAAATTTTAAAAAATTATAACAACCAAAAATATATTTAAGTATTTATTTTTACATTTTCTTCTCCTATTTCTCTTAAACATAACTATAATTTGGAAGTTATAGATTTAACATTTTCGAAAAAAATGAAATAATTTTTTATGTTGTTTTAAAAACTTTATTTCATAATGATAAATTTTATTATATAATGTCCGAGAGGATAATTGAAAGCTGTTAAAATAAATTCTGTATTAAATAATTCAAAATGCATCATTGAGTCTTTAATTTAAAATATATTTTTTAAACTACTTTTAAAATATAAAAATACATGTGTTTGAAAAAAATAACTATTATATAATTTAATATAATAATATATTATTATATTTCGGTTGCGTAATTGGTATTTTTTTTAATCTCAATTCAAAAGACTCTTCAAAGTATACGATCTGAAACTTTTAATACATCTTGGTAACAACGTTTTGTTTTGTATCTTTTTCATCGCACAACTTATTTTTGCATTGTATCGTGATTTTCAAACACCTCTTTCATCTTTCAATTGCTAACATTTGTGTAAGAACCATCATTAAGATAAAAAAATAAAAAAATTCACTCCCTTACTTAGAAATGAGTTTTGGTGATATATAAAAAAAAAAAATTCTATTCTTAAAATTTTATTAGTTGATGGTAATTAAAGGTTAAAACAAATGGTAAAGATCATGTTATAGACAAATGAGAAAAAAAAAAAAAAAGGAAAACCATTTTTTGTTGAAAAGTAAAAATTGTCACTTGAATTATAAGGTCATGAGAAAAAATATATATTAAAAATCATTAAATAAGAAATTATTCCAACCATTGTTTTATTGATAACTGAACAATTTCATGATATATTTTTAACATTTAAAACTATTGAATGCAAATAAATTTAGAATTTTAAAATCTCTCAACTAATATTGTTAATGCCTTCAACTATTCTTTTAGATGAAAAAATATTTATTTTATCTTTTAAACAAACATTTTTTTTATTGAAACTTTGTGAAACACTTATTTAATATGGATTCTTTGTTAATACAAAAAAAAAAAACTATTTTCCTTTTAATTGAAAACTTTAAAATTATTAGTTTCATCACGTTTATTTTTAACCCGTATTGTTTTCTAATTTTTGTGAGAACATTACACAATACATATCTAAGTATATAAGACATGCTTTTAAGCTTAAACAATTATTTTCTAATTATCTGACACTTATTGCCACGCTTGCTAATTGTTAATTCTGTATAATTATTGATTTAATAGTTATTTCAGATTTTTATCTAAAAAATTTATAAGAAAAAATTATAAATGTATTAATTAAAATAATATGAAGTTAATATTGTATTATTTTATTTCATCAATTATTAATCAATATTTTGATATCTATTACATTAATTATTCCATGAGGAGAAAAAAGCTTAAAAAACCATTTCCTAAAACAAAAAACATTTACACAAGAAATAAAATAAAGGTTTAAATATTTTTTTCCCTATTAAATTATCGAATATTATTTTTCATCGCTAATATTTTGTAACCTTATCAATCTTAAAAAAAAATCATTTTCTTTTTTAATGTAAGTAGGGATGAAAATTAAACTCGTCCTCGTTCTTAGTTTGACGGGGAAAATTTCGTTTTAAAAAATCGAGGGCACGGGCGGGGATGGGTAATGCAATCCCCACCCGGACCCGATCCCGTCCCGTGCTCGACTTTATATTTAAATTTAAATTTTAAAATATTAATATTTTAAAAGTATTTTCTTTTCTTTTTCTATTACATATAAAGTTATTTTTTTATATTCCACCAATTTTTTTCTTCTACCCACTTTTTAATTTTGTTGTCTTTTTAATCTTTTATATCAATTAATTTATTACATTATTCTTTCTCTTACCTTTCAGTTTTTCACATTTATTTAATTTCTCCCATGAATTTGTTTTTTTTTCAATCTTTTCAACCAATTTGATGAACACAAAGTTAATTTTTTTTATTCTTTATTTTTTTTAAATATTTTACATAAATATTAGTAGTAACTAATATTATTTTATTTATAATTTATATTTATTATGTTTTATTATGTCATATTTTTTTTATCTTATTATTTTTATTTATCATATATCAAATTTTATCTTAATAAAATAATTGTATTTTAAAGGATTAAAGAAATTGATAATTTAAATTTTTATTACTTCGAACTAATTGAATAAGAATTAACTTATTAAATATTTCCTTATAAACTATATATTTCATATTTTTAGATAACAACTTAAAAATGAATTAACTTATATATATAATCAAATGTTTGAATACGGTATTATAATAATAATGTTATAAATATTCAAATATTTGAATATAATATTATAATAATATTATTATAAATAAAAAATGATTAAATATTTCTTTTACATATATATTTTAATATAAATATAATAAATTAAAATATATATTTAATTAATAATAATTATAAATTATAAATATTTATTTATATATATAAAATAGATAGTAAAATTAATTTATTATAATTATAATTATTTTTTAAAAAATAATATGAATCGGAGACGAGTCGAAAAATCCAAAATTCAACAAAGATCAGAATAAGGAATTACTTTTTAATTCCGGCGGAGATCGAAAACAGGATGGTTAAAAAAATTAGGGACGGAAATAGGCGGCTGAACTGAACTCAGTCAGATCCAGAAGGTCCAGATATCCATGTCATCAAGCAACTGCTCCAACCTGATTCTGCTGTAAGAACAGTGGTTTATTCTCTGCCTTTTATCATATATATATATATATATATGCCTTGCGATGTATAGCTGTACAACTGGATAGCAGATGAAGCTAGATTTTTTGTATAATTCCCTCTCCGTTTTGTGCCATTAATTCGCTTGTCAAGATAACCTTACTGATTAGATAAATGATTAAGTGCTTTGTTTGTTATTGTATCTTCTGACAGGTTGGGGGAAATTGTACTCAATGTTTCTCTAGTGAAAGGTACACTATTGATGTATTAAATATTGGTGCTGTCATTCGCTCATTTGATTTGAACAAGTCTCAAGAAGAGGGTGTTTTAAGTTGTTTAGCTGCACGGGGATGCTCTCACAAAAATACTGTAAAATTGATTTGGGGCCCTCCAGGGTAAGGGAAAACAAAAACAGTTGGCTCATTACTAGTTGCCCTCTTCAAGCGGAAATGCAGAACAGTTACTTGTGCCCCAACTAATGTGGCTGTACTGGAAGTGACATCTAGGTTTCTTAGGCTAGTGATGGAATCCATTGATTATCACACTTATGGTCTTGGAGACATAGTATTATTTGGCAACAGAAAGCGGATGAGTATTGACGATCGTGATGATCTTATTGATATATTTCTTGATTACCGTGTAAATATTCTTGCCCAGTGCTTTGCACCCTTGTCTGGTTGGAAACATCATTTAGAACTGGTAATACGGTTACTTGAAAATCCTGAAGAGCAGTATCATGAATATTTAAAGTCTGAGGAAGGGGGATTATGAGATAGATGGTGATGACTGCTTGAAAGAAGAAAATGAACGACATGCGATTGCAAGTCAACAAACAAACCAAGAGAAAAAGAATATGTCGATCCAAAAATTTATAAGCAAAATGAGTGGATAAAAATAATTTATAGAACTTTAAGAGAAAGCATACCGTCTCTTAAAGATTCAAATAAAAGTAAATACGGTTAGATATTGTTTAGATATTATTTAATATTGTTAAGATATTGTTAGATATTAACCATAATATTAAATAATATTTTCTGTTTATTCTGTTACTTTCAGTTACTCTTTTAGTTGTATCTCTCTATTATAAATAAACTACCCTATGTGTGATTTATACACAAGAGAGATTAATCCCAAACTCTATTTCTTCTATATTCAACATGGTATCTAGAGTTTAAGGTTATTTTGATTTTTTTTTTCGCCTTTGACTACTATTGAAGCCGCCACCACCGCCGCTATCGTTGTTGGTTATTTGGTAGTGTGAAAGTGCATGTTTAGGAAAGTTCTGACAAGGAAAGACTTGGTATTTAAGCGTGTCCATTAGTGACACACCTCTCTTTCATGGGAACTTACCTAGTGTACTGGTTCACGCCGCTGTCACTATCGCCTCCGCCCTTTATGAGTTCTTCCGCTCCTTATAGTACTTCCAATTCTGTCAGTACTGCGTCTGATCCTTCCATCTACACTAACTATGTTAATGTGCACTTATCCATTGACAAGTTAACTGACCCTAATTATGCCACATGGTCATCAAACGTCAGATTATGGCTTAAGAGTCAGAAGTATCTTGATCATCTTGCCTCGAAAGCACCTACTCTCACTCCTGGTGAGGAAGACCTTTGGGACACCATTGATGCTCAATTATACGTGGTTCTCAAGGGTACTCTTGATCCTTCGTTAAAACAAATTTTTCGTTCCTACGAAACATGTGCCAAAATATGGGAACATGTCAAGTTATTATACACCAATGATACTCAACGACTCTATGATGTCTGTTCTAAATTTGTAGATGTTATTGCCTC